GAGTTTAACGGTCGGGACCCAGTTATGTGTGGACTGATTTTCTCCTGCTGCTATGTTCTTGAGCTGAAGTATTGGGAATAGCCACTTAAAACACCAAGTGATGCTATTCATCTCGCCGTGAGCAGTTCCTCTCCCCGTCACCGAAGCTGATTAATATGGCAGGGAGTCTTTGGCAGATACTTGCAACACTTAAGGTCACCAGAGTCAGAGCCAGGGGGAAATCCACCTATGAATGAGCCTGCACAGTTTAAACCTGTGTACTTTCATCGAAACAATGCTGTGCCTTCGGCATGATTATGATGCAGCCCAGTATGGGTTAAGAACGCTTCCTAGAGCGTATGCTCCTAATCATCACTCTATAGTGTCTCCCCAGGGGCTCTGCAGTCATTATTTAATTTCACCTTCAAAACACACTTGAATAGAAAAAAACATCATTATCTCCATCATGGAGATGAAAAATTGAAGATCAAGGAGACTCTAATTGTCCCAAGGCCTCCAGACAATTGGTAGTAGGGCTGGTAGTGAACCTGTCTTTGAAACCCCTAATCCTTCCCTCACACCATACAGCTGCTGGCTAATAGGGGGATTCCATCACAGAGAAGGGCCCTGGTTGGTTCAGTCGTTCATTTGTGAGACCTGATCCATTAAAAACAAACAAACAAACAAACAAACAAACAAAACCAACCCAGTTCTATGAGCTGGTGACACTGTGTGACAAAATGAGGGTCACAGGTCCCTAGAGGATCTGAGCTGACAAATTATAACAGAGTTTACCATGTCTTTGGAAGAATGTGAATTTGGGAAGAGAAGGGAAAGCTACTTCTCACCAGGCAGAGCATGCACATTGCCTTTTGGTTGTGAGGCTGCCCTTTCTGGAAGGGTCTAACCTTGCATTTGGAAACATGTTGGCTGGGGCCAGAAGTACAGCCTGTGGTCACAGGCCAGAAGCTAATAGTTTCATCCTGGGCTGTGATTTCAGTTGCTTGTTGCTCCAGACAAGTGAGCTGCAAGACCACAGGGACAGACATCCCTGCCATGCTATTGTTCTCAGAAATCTGGGCCCAGAGAAGCTGAATAAACATCCAGCCAATGTGAAGGTTAGCCTTATGTACACACACACACACACACACACACACACACACACACGCATGTGCACGTCAATGGAGCCAAAAGTGTTCTTGACTAATGAGTGGGGATTTCCAAGAATCTGGCAAAATAATACTTGACTTTTATCCCAGCCTTAAGATTCATAAGACCAATTACATTCCATATATTAACATTTTTGCCAAAAGAATTCATAAAGGACCATAGGGAGAGTTTAGGGACTTTGGAAGATGGAATCTGGCCATTGTGTGTGTGTGTGTGCGTGCATTGCTGTTGCTGTCTGTCACTGGGTCAACTGCCCAGGCTGCAGTTTTCATGGGAGCAGATGGTCAGGTCTTTCTTCTGACAATCACTAGGGGGTTCAAACGACCACTCTTTCAGTAAAGAGCCAAGCGCTTAACAACTGGGCCCCCAGGGCTCTATACAGACACACACACACACACACACACACACACACACACACACACAGGCAGATCAATAGGAACATACACGGATCAAATGTCGACCTTTCTACATTGAGGTTGGGGAATTTACATGGGAAGGAAAACAATGATTAGTTCAATGAGGTAATTCACTGAATTTGTCTGGAGTTGAGAAGGCTCAACGGAATCTACTCTTGAACAACTTTTGTAAGTACCATTTTAAATAATCAGCACTCATTCATGCTAATTTTAAAGACCTGCTAATAAAATTGTCCCAACACAGTAAGTTCTGTGTGGGCAGGCCTCTGTCTTAGCACTCAGGCGGCCACAGTGCTTTGCAGAATGGCTGGTTCATGGCTGATGCCCAATGGCAACATAGCAAGTGAGCGACTTATGAGGGCGAGCCCCTTCCAGTGGACCGCCTTGGTGAGAGTTGCCAGCACTGTATACTTGGGAAGCAGTATCCATAAATCTATCCTCCTGTCTCAGGTGAGGAGCCTTAGTGATGCAGTGGATTAGTCTTCAGCTGCTAGTGAAAACGTTCATGGTTCACACCCACTAGCCCCTTCACACGAAGAAAGGTGAGGCATTTGTTTTTGTAAAGATTCATGGTCGTGGGTTCTCTGAGAGGTAGCCTGTTGTCTAAGGTCCAGATGAGTTGGAATCAACTGGACAGCAGTCAGGTTACATTACAGGAGAGGACAATGAGGGGCTTGTGAGCTAAATAACCTGCCTGGCACACTGCTAGGAGCAGTAGAGCTGGGATTTGAACTGACAGCGCCTTGTTTTCAGAGTCTGCCAATAGTCAGAGGTTGGTTTGAGATGGCAAACCTGAATTCTGGCCTGGAGATAAATAAAAGGAAGACTTCTTTAGGTCACACCCACTTTTTTTGAATGACAAGCATGTTAAGATAGAACTGTTTCTATTCAACCTAACAGTCCACCAGAGGTCTTATTTTAGTGGCATTGGCCTTCAGAGACTTATCTTCCTTGGTGATTCTGAAATTACTGCAAAGTGTATCAGGAAGTTCTTTTTTATGGGCCCTGAGAACTCAATTCTCAGTAGAAAGTTTGCTATGAAATAGGAATAAGGTTCCAGGTTTGTTATTTAATTTGTCATTAAAATACTGTCACAAACTAGCCAACAAACTAGTTAATAAACTAGTAATTAAATAAGATAGAAAAGGGTATCGCTTAGTAAGCTCCAATGTATAAAATTAAGTTTAGTGTTCCAAGGAAGTACAGACCAAACACAGAAAAGATTTTTTTAAACTATGAAGGAAACTTCTGGAGGATTTTAAAAATATTTTTATACACAAGTAACACTAGCCCTTTAATTTCACTTTCCCCTCAAACCTGGCTTGCGTGCTGTGTGTCCCTTAGATAGAGGTGGTATTATGGAAACGACACCATCAGTAGATTGATTTGGTGCACAGTTAGGACAAACGGGGAAGAGACATAAAGGGAAGGAGGAGGAGAATGCTTCCCGGTGGGCACTGGACTGGCTTGGGGTGATGAGAAGAGATGAGAGAGGGCAAGAGGAGAGGGCTGCAAGGTGGATGTGTGCATATAGATGAGAAATTATACATGTGAAGTCCAAGGACAAGGTGTGTGCACACGTCTCTTGAGGAGGCAATGCAGTTTGGGATGTGTGTGTGTCCTCAACATTGCCTGTGTGATGGGCTTGTAAGCTATGTTGCTCCCTTAGTCAATGCATCTCTGGACTCGGTACTGTGCACAGTGCTAGAGAAACAAAGGAAAACTCACAGATAAATTCTGGGTCCTCATGAAGCTTATGCTGTACTGGAGTAAACAGATAATAAACAAACAATTAAATAAAATAATAGACGTTGATAACTGCTGTTGCTGTTAGTGGCCGTGGAGTCATCCACTGACTCATGGTGACACCAGGCACACCAGAATCAAATCATTGTGATGTTTAGGGTTTTCCTTGGCTAATTTTAGTGGGTTTTCCAGCCTCTGATCCTAGTGTGTCATAGCATGTTCAGCACCACAGCAAATGCAAGTGAGCACTGAAAGACGAGTGTTGACTGCTCTTGGATAGAAATTAGGAAAGCACTAGAGTGTGCCTAACTGGGCACCCATCTGGAAGGGAAGTCTCCTGGAGGGAAAGCTGTTCGACCAACACACACGATGTGGAAGTGCTAGAAGAAACACTTTCAGGTAGAGGGGTCAGAACGAGCCAGGGATGAGTAGAGGGAAAGACTAAGAATTCGGCAGGAGTCCAGTGCAATTGAGGGGGCAAGGGTACACGGAGTAAGAAGAAGTGGGTAGGGGGCAGTCCATAGGTGATCCCGAGGGCCAAGCAGAGAAGGTAGAATTTCATTCCAAGCGCAGTGCAAAGTCCCTTTCAATGAAGGGAGGGACATGGTCTGGGAAAGTTACACAGTGACCATCTTGTTGCTGGGGAGAGCAGGTGTGGGGAGGGAGGAGTTCGGTGCTCTCATCCTGGACAGGATGTGTGCACATCTCTTAGGTGTGGCACATGGCATCCTGGTGGCATGTGGACCTTCTCTCCCCTGCTGCCCTTAGCGTTTCCCAACAAGACCGGACTCACTGCGTGGCCTGTTAGAGCCATAGGAAGCCTATAGACTCTCGGAGATGTTTGCCATGCAGTTTGGAGACTTTCAGGTCTTACAGAGCGATATAAAGCCAAAGTGGCAGGTAACATTGCAACTATCCATTTTGTTAAAGAGAGTAAAGGCTCTGTTATAATCCCTGATCAGCTACGCTTCACAAAGACACAAGAAAATAACAACAAAAATGAAACATTAAAAGAAAAAAGATGTGGTCTCAGAAAATAATAAAACAAATATATAAAATACAACAATACACAACAGTTACACAGAAAATGCCAGCCTCTCCTTATATTTTCCTCCAATCCTTGAAGTGCATTCTTAGGGACTTGAGATTCCAAGCCCAGTTTGACTTCCTTCCTTTTTTAGCCACTGAGACCCGTATTTAGGTCAGAGGGCATTTCCTCAATTTTGCTTTAGAGCCAATGAAAACCTCCTTACATACTGGGTACAAATCCACAGATCCCATCTCAGAGCTGAGGCCCGTATTTAGGAAGCATGGATCCAACCGCCCAGCCCGACTTCACAGATGAGAAGACGTGAAGGTCTGGGGCCTCCTCCACGTGGTGAGGTAAATTGAGGGCAGAATGCCCAGTCGGGCCTCAGTCTGTTGATTGCAGGTTAATTTTTATTTTTCCCATTACATCATCCTGTTGAATATTTCAGTTTATTTCTTATACTCTGCCAGGGATCAGATACTATAGAGCTTGTATTACTGTCTAGTGGGGAGTGTGCTAGACATACTCATTTCCCTACCAATATTTCCGAAAGCTATGGCACTGTGGGAAATAACCACACACGGGAGCAACACTTAACCTCCCCAAAGCCCAACAACCTGGAATCCTATCTTCATACAGAAAAGTCTGGGGACTCTTACCTGATCTTCAGATACGCTGCAACTCCAAACACCAACACCACCACAGCGATGACGGTCACGGTAATGGCGGCAATGCTGCCTGTGCGGAGGACAGATGGAAAAGGAGATGAAGGGGGAGCTTCATGACTCTCGGGTGCACACGTCACAGTCTCCTCTGCCCCACCCAATCGTCCCTTGGACAGAGGAAATGCTTATTCACCTCAGGTCAGTCTGCATACAGTCAGAGCCAGAATGAAATCCAAGATCTTAATATGGTCATTAAAAATGCTTTTAGGGCCAGGTGAGGTTTGGTAAACAGCTAATCTTTATGATGATTATCTTTTTGACTGACGTAGGATACAGAGCACAGCCCATTGTAATATTTGATGATCTCTTCAAGACTGAGTAGTCTGCTGTTGTTGTCTACAGAGGTAGACAAACCTCTTGATGTTGCATATCCCTTTGCTTATACTTTGACCACTTGTGAACTATTGGGAGATAGGATGTTTTATTGAAGAGTCAGTATAAGTTAATATGGTTGATATTTTAATAAACTATGAAGCATTCAACCAAATCACTAGCACCCACTTCAAAAGACACTTTGGTAGGCGGGTGTGCACCAGTTTTAATGATGATGCCATCCAATCAGAACATTTAAGACACCTCTCTTTGGGAAACATGCCCACTTTTCATCCTTGAAAGGAGAGTTGCATTTTTATAAAATAAAGACAAGTTTGGTTTTGTTTATAAAAATAACAAGGTCCAATTATAAAAGATATCCATCTTCTCTTGTGTAATTTGAAAGCCTGTGTCAAAGGTAACTATTTTTAAAAAACAGAACAAGACACACACACCCCTTTTAAATGTGTATTGGGTGAAGGTTTACAGATCAAATCAGTTTTCCATTCAACAATTTATATGCAGCTTATTTCACATCCCTTATTGCATTCCCTGATGTAACACCACTTTCCACTTTTCCAGTGTGTTTCCATTCTTCCATCCTATACCTTCCCACCTTCTGAACTTTGTACTTGGGCAAACGATATCTCTTTGGCCTCAAATGGTTGATTTTTCTAAGGAGTGCTAGTGCTATTGTTTACCTTATGGGCTTGTCTATTGTTTGGCCGAAAATTGAGTTAGAGGCGTGAGTTCAGTTCCAGGTCTAAAGGGTGATAACTAAAGGTCGGGTTTTTTAAAAAAATGAAGAAGGAAAGGAAAAAGCATACAAAAACCTTGGAGCACAAGGAATTTGTCAGAATAACCAGACTGTCTCCCAGTAACACTACTTTGAAGCATAACACTTTTGGGGGGGGGGGTGAGCTTTGGTCTATTAACGCACATACTTCTGTTTTAACTTTCACCTTAGAAATGCACCGACTCAATTGGGCTCTTGCATGTAGCAGTTAAGTGACTTGGCATGAAAGCGGAGGTAATTGTTGGTAGGTACCCTCAGGTGGCTTCACTCAGAGTGACTGCACAGCAGAATGAACTACTGTCGTGTGCCTTGCTCCCCTGAGCGCCGTGTTAGAGCCACAGTGCTGTGCCTGCTCTCTGAGTCCGTCTCTTCTCTGCTGACCCGCCACTTCGCCAAATAGGATGGCCTTTCCCAGGACGGGCCTCTCCCGGGAGCAGCGCCAAGTAAGTCAGAGAACGTTCTGCCACACTTGTTTCTGAGGAGCACTCTGACTGTATTTTTCTCCTACTTACTTGTTCATTCTTCTGACAGCAGTCTTCGGTACATACAACAGCCTTTGGCAATATCATAATCAATTGCATCGATTCTCCTTTAATCTTGGTTATTCATGAGCCTCCTGTACTCGTTCGGGCCAGTGGGAATGTATTTGGTACTTGGACAAAGGAATGGCACTCTTCTTAAATTAAACACTGGGAGAAACCAGGAGGGATTTGGAATCTGATTTCACACAGTAGCTGTGTGACTTAATACTGCTGACTCTTCACCATGCAAATGCAAAACCAGAAGAATAAGAGTTGTTTTATTCATCTCTCCCATCACCCTTCTAGCAGTTTATCATAATGTGGATGCTTGCAGGTTGGTGCAGAACTAGAAGCTATGCCACTGAAAAATCCAGCAAGGCCACACATGGTGGACAGGTTTAGCAGAGCTCTCAGACTATGACAGACTAGAAAGCAGGACCTGGCAATCTAATTCTGAGAATGGGTCATTGAAAACCCGGTGGATCACAATAGAAGAGAGGGGTGTTAGATGAGTCTGCTATGTTCGGAAATTCACCTACACCAAACCAATTGCCAGCCAGTCAATTCTGACTCACAGCGAGCCTATGTGGGGTTTCTGAGGCTGCAAATCTTTATGGGAGTGAATGGCCTCAACTTTTTCCTGAGGAGTGGGTGGTAAGTTAAAGTGCCAATTTGCTTTGTGCAGTCCAATACTTACTCAACAGCTTTACTAGGCTCCCAGGTCCTAAGTCAAGCCAAACTCACTGCCACTGAATCAATGCCAATTCTTAGCCACCCTATAGGACAGGGTGGAGTTGTTCCTGTGGGTTTCCGAGACTCACTTTCTACAGGGGTAGAAGGCCTCATTTTATTCTCTTCAGTATCTGCTTATTTCAAATTGTTGACTGTCGTGTAGCAGGACAATGTTTAACCCACTACATCACTAGGGCTCCTTAGGCTCTCAGGTAGGACACTTAAAATACATACTGGTTGCAAAACTGGACTTTAGGTGTAATAATGTTTGTGAAGATGGTTCAGAATAGGCCAATGCTTGATTCTGTTGTACACTAGGATGCCAGGAAGCAACTGAAGATCACACCGTATCTATCTCACATGAATTTAGAAGGACTAAATGAGCTACCCGATGCAGAGGGCTGCATTGTTATCTGCAGGTGAGATTCTGGACCAGGGCCGAGCTCCCAAGGACTAGTTCTCAAAGGTGATAGAACCTCCTCACGTTTTGAGAGAATTATCAACTACAGATGACTTTGCATTCTCTCCTTTTATGTTTCTCCCCGCCTGTGTGAGTGGCTTTTATTAAATATTCTTCCCACTGGTTTGACCACGGAAGGTATTAGCAGAGAGCACAAAAGCAGGTCAATCTTCAGCACTCTTTAGCAATCCCCTGATTGTCTGGGGCAAAGAGGGGGCCTCTGTGACCCGGGCTCCAGCTTTTATAGTTTCTAAGTGGGAACCGAGTGAGATCACGGCTGACACGTGAACTGAGACGGGACTTGATGTGTCTACGCAGCTATTCCACCATGTCAGAGCTGCTTCCCTTCCAGAAGGAGCCTTGGCCGTGTCCCGGGGGTAAGGGGTTATACCTTAGGCTGTTCTCTATAAAGTCAGCAGTTTGAACCACTACCCACTCTGAGGGAGAAAGACAAAGTTTTCTACTCCTGGAAAGAGTCACAGGGTTGGAAACCGAGAAGGGCTGCTCTCCCCTGTCCTCTAGGGTCAGTATGAGTTGGATTGATTCGATGGTGGTGAGACACTTCTGGACACTCACACTTTCCTTGTTTTGCTGTTGGAATTCATCTGAACTTGATTACTATGATCAGAATTCCAGAACACTTAATTGTGATCATGAGGAACCTATACATGGATCAAGAGGTCCTCCTCGGAACTGACTGGACGGCACCTAACAACATCAATAACCACACAACAACATCAATAACACCAGTATAACTTCCAGTATTCTTCTCTTCCCCCTTTACAGTAATCAAGTCATAAACATGTCACTGAGTGCTCACACATATAGACCGGATCAAGATGAGCAAGTCTGGGTCTGATTCCCTTATGGCAAACTTCCAGTCCTCCTCTGAAAGACTGTTACTGGTTTCTCAGCCACCAAGTTGCACAGAAATGATAACAGTTCAAAGTTCATTAAAGCCTCTTACACAAAAACAAAGACACAAACAGGAAGCCCACACCAAATATGTTGCCCGAGAAGACATTCCAACTCCTAGCAGCGCTGGAAGACTGAACTGTCTGATAGGCTCTTTCAAAGGCTGTCATACTGAAGAATGTAGATGGCCTCATTTTTCTCCCATGAAGTAGCTGCTGGTTTTGAACTGCCAACCTATCAGTTAGTAGCTGAGCATTTAACTACTGAGCCACCAGCGCTTCTTTTAAGAGCTTGTGAAAAGGGGATTATAACCTGAAGTTAAGATGATGGAGAGATTTTAAGTTTTTTTTTTTTTAAGGGGGGGGAACGGAAGGAATAGAGCTATTTTCCCATAAGACAATCTTGCTCTGTGGGCTAGACATTGGGCTGCTAACCAACCACAAGATTGATGGTTCAAACCCACTGGCCTGCCTTAGCAGGAAGATGAGGCGGTTTGCCTCCCTGAAGATTTACCATCTTGGAATCCCTGTGTAGTGTATGAGGCGGGACGGACTCTGGCAGTGGGTTGGTTGGATCTTATACCAGAGGCAATTTCATATAGGACATCAATGGTTTGACAGTCTCAACATTTCCTCCCTGACACCAGGCACTTGGGCCTCCTCCAACTCTGTGCTTTACAGAATTTACTTATACACCAGCTCATTCTAAAGATGACCACAGGCAGTTTCTCTAAATTCAAGTGGTGTTTTCTTTTTTGGGGGTGCGGGGTGGCAGCAAGTAATGAATGACCCACTTCCCTTCCATGTGACCAGTGGTTCTCTAGCTCTTAAGGCAAACCCAGGCTTCAAGTGGGGCTCTGGAAGGCCACCCTTCCTTGCCCCCTAGGGTGATCCATGTGACCAAAGCTGGAATTAGCAGCTGGGCAATGGGGCAATTCTAAGGGGTGCTGCTGACTAGCAGGAGACCAAAATTAGTCTGAGGTAAAACAGGTGATATTTATGAGACATTTGGACTGTCTTACTATTTATTCTGCCACCACTTGACCCTTCTCAGAGGGGGCTGGCCCTCCTGAAGGAGAAGCTCTGTATCAGCCCCGGGCTGTGGAGACCTTGTGCCCCATGCTTGCTCTGGCTGCCCCAGTGGTGGCTCTTCTTTCAGAAGGCAGCCGGTAACCTTCGTCCTGGGCAGTTCCGCACCTGAGGGCACCGCAGACTGCGCCCAGGAGGAAGTTGCTGAGCCAACATTAGCACAACTTTATTTGGGGTAACTAAAAAGGC